CCAAGGAGACCCACAAATAACTGGCTTCTCCACCCTTCCCCCACCCCCTGGTTGTCCTGGACTTAGCTATAGACCAGGCTGGCCTTGAACTCACAGAGATTCTCAAGCCTCTGTCTCCCGAGTGTTGGGATTAAAGGTGTGTGACGCGACTGACCAACTTTTTTGGGGAGCGGTGTCATCTTTTTCCAACAGCACGACTGAAGGACTAGCTCTACCTACAACAACCTACTACAGTTCTCTTTCCTATCCCAGGAGCTCAGACCCTTACCACCTCTCACCTGAAATATATTACAACTGCCCCCTAATTCTGGGCCAGCTCCTCCAGAGATGTGGTTCTCAACCTGTGGGTCATGACCCCACAGGGGTCACATGTCAGATATTTCCATTGGGATCAATAGCATTAATTAACAGCTATGAAGTTTCAATATAATTATCTTATAAGGTTGGTGGCCACCACAACATGAGAACCTGTATTAAAGCAGCACTAGGAAGATTCAGAACCACCGCTCTAATAAACAACCCCTCTTGTGCAAAAACTCACCTGGGAGACCCAAACTGAGGCCCCCACCCAGTACCATAACCCCATCCCACCTCTCCTATATTTCCCAAGAAGACCCACTGCGTATAGGTTCTGGCCTCCAAAAACACATCCTACAGTGATGCCTTTTTTTTTTTCATTTCTTATTTTTTGGTTTTGAGACATGGTTTCTCTGTAGTTTTGGAGCCTGTCCTGGAACTAGCTCTTGTAGACCAGGCTGGCCTCCAACTCAGAGATCTGCATGCCTCTGCCTCCCGAGTGCTGGAATTAAAGGCATGCGCCACCATTGCCCAGCTTCCTACAATGATGTCTTACAGTCATGAGAGTATATGCACACACTATCTGACACACAAGCCCCGTTACAGCCTAGAGTCATCCCGTCCTGCTTCATACCGCCGCCCCCAGTTTCACCTTAAATGCCTACTTCCCAGATAAAGACATCCCCAAGTTCTCAAGGCAAAGCCTCATGGGGGGAAAATGATGAAAACTTGCATCCACTTCCTCCAGCAGCTCAGCCCAAAGATCACTGCACCCTTAACCTCAGACTCCTTTCCCACTCAACTCGCTCTTACTCCATCTCCGAGCACAGGATGCTGGTTAGCTAAGTTATGTCAGCGAGCCTCTGGAACCGTGAAAAGTCTCTTTCCTAAGGGAGTCTATAAGGAAAATAGATTTGGCGGTGGAACTGGGATGCAAGTGATGTGCCCCAGGACTCACTCGCCTGGAGAACAGGATGACATCATGGTCAAAAAGCAGCAAGTGTCGAAAGGGCAGGAATAGGACCCCAAAGCTGAACCATGGTGTGAGCAGTACAGCAAGATGGCTGCACGGACCACCAGCTCCATTGCACAACCCAGGAACTCTCGACTCAGGTTTGGGGTTAAAGCTGGACCCTGGCACAACCCAGTTCTCTAAAGACAACAACGGGAGGCTAGGCTGCCACAGGCTAAGTGGGGTTTTCTGAAGCCACTGGTGGGGACTGAAGACTGGTTCAGGGATGTTCAGGGGGATCACAGAAGGTTTGGACTTCCAAACGCTGTCTGCTAGAAATAATGTGAAAACCAGACTGCCTTCTGACCGCCAAATGGGAGGTACTGGCCACATACTGAGCTGGAGATGTGCACCTGTAGCCTGGACCCAAAGTGATCCTGGGAAAGAAGAGCCCTCATGGCTTGGGGCTCGGGGTTCGGGGTTCTCAAAGTGGGACCCATGGGAGCAATCACTCAGACACCTGTTAAAATGCACTCTCAAGGATCCCCCCAGAACTGTGAGTCACAAGTTTCAGGGAATGAGCCAGAACAAGAAACACGATGGGGAGAGGGGTTGTTTAAAGGCTGTTTTCCAGCCATGCATGGTCACTGTACTTGTGAACTCACACACATGAGACCTATACAAGAACAAGCCAGCCATAATCCTAGCATGGGGGCGGGGACCCATGAGGCTCCACCCCTAGCTGAGGAGCTACTGGCAACTGAGAGCTGTTGAGGATGGGGAGGCCCCTGGTAGTTTGCCCATGCCCACATAAGCAGCATGGATGGGATTCAGTAGGTGAATTCTTAAAATAGGAGATTAAGGTAGGAGTAGCTGTTGTTGGGGAGGAGGATACAGAGAGAAACTGGGAAGTTAGGAGTAGATTTCATCAAGATACAATAGTATATATGGGGGTTGGAGAGATGGCTCAGAGGTAAGAGCACTGGCTCTTCCAGAGGTCCTGAGTTCAATTCCCAGCAACCACATGGTGGCTCACAACCAACTATGGTGCCTTCTGTCATGCAGGTGCACATGCAAGCAGAATACTGTATACATAGTAAATAACAAAATCTAAATAAAAATAGTATATATGTATAGAACTGTCAAAGAAAAAATAAATGTGCAGCAGTTTGATTTCTTTCTTAAAAGAAATTGCAGAAGAGGGGGGTTGAAGATGGATGTAGCTCCCTGGTTGGAACTGTTTGTTTATCATGTACCAAGTACTGGGTTCAATTTCCAGTACTGCATGAAACTAGAAGGTCCATACCTGTAGTCCCCACACTTGGGGGTAGAAGCAGGAGAGTCAGAAATTCAATCCTAGCACTCCAGGAGGCAGAGGCAGGCTAATCGGAGTTTGAGGCCAGCCTGGTCTACAGAGTGAGTTCCAGGACATGCAGGGCTACACAGAGAAATCCTATCTTGAAACCCCCCACCACACACATACACCAAAAAATTAAAAGAAACTGGAGCCCATCCTTGGCTACCTAGTAAGTTTAAGGTCAGCATTCTTTGAGCCTTGTCTCAGAAAATAAAACTGCAGGACTAGATTCCGGTAATGTTTTAGCCAGCCTTCCAGGGACACTCAGTGCCGCTGTGCTAGCTCTGCTGCCTTGCAACCACTCCCTTGCTGCCCCCTTTCCTCCTGATAGAAAGAACATCTGGTAACTCCCTCCCTTGTCTCCCAAGACAGACAACTCTTAAAAGATCAAAGCTATGTATAAGAGAGGAAAACTGGCACAGAGAGAGTTTCGTAAAAAACTTTATCCACTACCACCATACAACCTAGTTTACAAGACCAGGGCCCTGCAGCCCTTCCAGGGTGCTCTCCGTCCCAGCCCCAGATTTTACCTACAGTCCTCTGGCAGACACTTCTCCAGCTACCCTCAATCACTACTGGCTCCAGTTCAACAATGGTCCTGCCTCGGGGGTGCCCTCCAGAAGCCCCCATTTAACACCAGATCCCATCGCAGGATGGCCTCTGTCACAGCCCTCAATACAGACATGCACAGGACAGGGTTCTCCTTCCAGTACCTGCTGGAGGAGAGCTAAGACCCATGGGAAATATCTGGTAACAATGAAGCCAAGTATTACTAGACACACTTGAAGTTTCAGTATCATTACTAAGCATTTCAAAGTCTTCACTCTAATTGAGAAAAAATTGTGTTTACTATAATTTTGAAAGCCACTAAAAAAAAAAAAAATTAGCGAGCAGGCTGAATCACTAGCTGCAGGACAAAGAAAGTCTGCCCCCTGGGGGGTGGTCTTCCGCAACAGTGGTGAGCGGAGTCCAAGGCTGCAAACCTCTGGAAAGCTTCCTCCTAACTTTCAGATGTAAAGCTCCAGGTCCTCCCTGTGGGCAACCAAACCAAGCTTGGCCACTAAGAAGCTGCAAGAGCCTCTTTCTTTCCTAAAACATCAACCACAAGCCTCAACCATACTCCACTCTCAGCAAGGACATCTTTCTGCCCCCTTGCTGGGTGTGCAGTCACAAGGGCTTCCAGCTCACTGTCAACCAGGAGTGGCATCTTGGGTGTTTGGGAAGTCCCAGAGCACACGCTTTCAAAGTGTGTGCTCACAGTTCCGGGAAGCACTAGACTGCTTCACACTGCACGCACCATCCATTTGGACAGACAAAGCAGAAGAGGTTGACCCCAGGGAGAAAACCAGGCAGTAAAACTAAAGGACAGCACCCCCCTAACTCATCTCTCCCATAAAATAAGAAAGAAGCCTTGCCAAGCACCAGCTGACAGGTAGAAGACGTCTCCCTGCTTGGAGATCCAGTCTCCACCATGCCAGGCAAAAGTTTGAGCTTCCAAGAATGTGGGAGAGAACCCAGAGCAGGGGCCTGACAGCCAAGCAACCCTGCCCTAAGGATCGAGATCTCTCGCTGGGCCTCAGATTTAATCAAAACACTGCCTCCACTAGAAGTAGACAGAGCAAGTGTTTTATGGGGGAAGGGAGGTCAACTCTGGAGTGTGAAGAGAAAGAGTAGAGGGGCCTTGGCTGTAATTAACTCTTGCAAGGGAGACTAGACGCCTGATTGGCAGGGGGTTGCCACAAAGGCCTCTCGTCCCCGTCCCCGAGGTACTACTATAGGGATGGAGTCAGGAGAGAGGATGGGGAGTCAGGAAAGAGGATCCTTTTAGCAGATCTCCTCCGGAGCTGGGGAGAGGAGGTAGGGAAGTGCCAGATCGGTGAGTTCTCTGGGAGGACGGACATTTAGACCGGAAAAGCCTGCGTAGGGGTTCCCAATGCCGCTCCAGTACAACAGGCCGCTTGGCTTCGGAAACCTGGCACGCAGAGTGCGAGATTCAGAAGCATTTACATATATACATTCAAGAAAAACTATAACCCAGAGAGTCCCTTTCCTGCTCCGGACCTCAATTCCCATCTATATCTGGGAGGGGGACCACCACACAACCTTGGGGTAAACGAGCAAATGCTCTTTTAGGCCCGCCGAAGCTGACTTTACTGGGGGAGCCGGAAGGGCTGGCTGGGTCTGTCTTCTGGGTAAAGCTAGGCGGGGTGCTCTCGCTCAGGCTTTTGGCTTGGTAAGGAGGCATTTAGGAAGCAGTAGCCAGAGAGACGGAGTCAGACCAGAGTGCGCGTCGGAGCCTAGACTCCAGGGTGCCAGAGCAAAGTTGACTCGTAGGACTTGGTTAACGTGGCAGTGTCTCAGCTTCCCGTGCCCATCAGGAGCTTCGGGTCTTACCTTTTCTTTCTGGCCGGCTCCAGTCTCCTCGGAGGCACACTTGTTGAGCAGCTTTTTGCCTCCGCAGGTCGTCGGGCTCCAGGTGCGGCCGCCGGAGCACACGCCTCCCGGGGGATCCCCCGCAGCACCCGCACTCTCCACTTTGATAAGCCGGTGCTTCGGGGAGATGTAGCGCACCTCGGCTGGCGTGGCGGGCCGCCGCTCGCTGCTGCTGCGGTAGAGGTGCGGGGAACCGGAGGATGAGGACGAGGACGCAGCGGCGCCCGCCCCCGACGCCGCGCAGCAGCAACCCGCAGCGCCCGAC